CCTGTTCCCTTAATCCAGTACGAGTAAAATCCGGAATCGGCGGCTCGCTTTCAGAACTCCCTTGTTTACGTGTGTTAACGTCCGTTTCCTCTATACCCGTCGACGACATCATAGATCTCCGAGAAAATGTCGGGCTTCTAGCAGTGATCCTATCGGTTTCTACACTGGATTCGTCCGTTAGAGCCTCATAAGATCCTGCAGTGGCAACCTGACTCTGGATTTCTTGGACTCTCGGATGTTTTTTTATATTGGACGTCGTTGAAGGCGTATCTTTCCGCACTAGCGGCCACCGTGAAATGTCAGTCCTAGTTCCACTTTCTCGGTTAGTCGAGATATTACTCGAATTTTGACTTTGCGGTCTAGTTCTCGTAGGTTGTGTCGTAGGATCCTTTTTATTCGTAGGCAATCTAGTCCCTGCTTTTGGCCTTTGACCGGATGTACTAGGCTGTGGGTCGGCGGCAGTTATCAATGGAACAGGATTCTTACTTCTCGTTCTCCCAGCTATAACACTATGTTCTAACTCCGGCCTTTGTTTGTTGGTTTTAGAGCCTAAAGGTCTATCTATCGGTCTATGTTCGCCAGCAATCGTGTTTGCTCGTTTGCGCATTCGTTTCTTTTCTTTCTCTGACTTTTCTTTAGCGGCTTCTTGTTCTTTTGATTTATCTTTCCATTTCTTGAACATCATTACCTGTATATTAGGTATATTGTCATTGAGGTCCTGTTCACACTTTTCTTTTTCTTTTAAATACACATTCAGGTCCATCGGATTGCGGGAAAGTGAATCGGCATTGTAGTTCAATTTACCGGGTTTAAATTTGAAGGTGTACTGAAAATTGGTGAACTTGAACATCCACCTCATCAATCTTTGTCCTGGGTCCTTGCGATTGTGCATATATTTCAATGGCTCGTGATCGGCTATTAAGGTGAATTTCTTGCACATCAGGTATGGGCGGAATTGATTCATGGCATATAGACACGAAATGCATTCCTTTTCTGTCGTCGTATAATTTCTTTCTGATTTGTTTAATAATCTCGATAAATATGCCACCGGACGCTCCACACCATCTACTTCCTGCGATAGAATAGCTCCTACAGCATAGTCCGAAGCATTGGTAGTCAAAGTGAAAGGTTTCTTGAAATCGGGGAACGTTAGTATGGGAGCTTTACATAAGAGTTCTTTTAGTGTATTGAAAGCTTCTTCTTGTTCGGATCCCCATTCGTATTCTCTGTCCTTTTTAGTTAGATCACTCAGCGGTTTTGCTATTTTCGAATAACCTTTAATAAAACGTCGATAGTAGCCTGATAGTCCCAAAAAGGATCGCATACTTTTTACACCGGTTGGACGTCGGAAGTCCATGACTGCAGAGACCAATTTCGGATCCGGTTCTACGCCTCGTTTGCTAATTATATATCCTAAGAATTTGACTTCTCTACGCAAGAATTCTACTTTATCCGGCTGTAGGACCAATCCTGCATTAGACAATCTTTCGAATAGTTTTCTGACCTTTCTCTCATGGTCGTTCAGGTCCTTTGCATAAACAATTATATCATCAAGGTAAACTAACATTTCAACGTTTAACAGTCCTCTTAGTAAATGGTCCATTATTCGTTGAAACGTAGCCGGGGCGTTCACAAAACCCTCGGGCATGCGTATATACTGAAAATGTCCTCGTAAAGTAGAAAATGCAGTTTTAGCTCTGTCCTCGGCCTGCAAAGGAATTTGTTGAAAGCCATTTGCAAGTTCGAAAGTTGAAAAATAGGTACAGCCTCCTAGCTGGTCTAAGATATCTGCGATGTTAGGGAGAGGATAAGCGTCTCCAATAGTTCTATTGTTCAATTCACGGAAGTCTATCACAATTCGCCAACGCGGTTTGCCATCGCTTCCGGCTTTCTTCGGTACAATCTATAAGGGCGAATTATAAGGAGAATTTGACTCCTCTATAATTCCATCCTTAAGTCGTTTTGTAATTTGTTCCTCTATAAACTGCTTATGCGCCGGTGGGTGTCGAGATTGTTTAGTGTTAATGGGCACATTGTTTTCCAGGTGAATTTCATGTTCAATAATATTTTTACATGGTAGCGGCTCACCTGGCAGTAAAAATATATTTTGTTTTATCCTTGAGGCAATCTAAGTCTTGGTTGATCATAACTAATCATGCCATACCGTCTTCCTGTAGGATACAGATATGTGTCTGTATCCGGATTGTATAATCTTCCATTATTTTGTTCATAAGAGCGGCCTTGCGAGCCTTGAAATCTCGGAATCCAATTCCCAGTCCTAGGCTGATATTGTCTCTGACCTTGAAATCTATTATTCTGAGAATTATTTTCAGAGTAACCTCCGTTATTGGAGTACTGATTATTATTATTTTGATAATTATTACCGTTCTCTGAATTTTGTTGAAATTGCCTCTGTTGGTACTGGCTCTTTTGAATATAGAGTTGCTGAAATTCAGCAGGCAATTCTTCGAATTCAATGGGCAACTGTTCTTCTGATTCTAATCCCTGCTCTTGCACGTAAGCAACGTCCAAATTTTTGTTGAAGCCAGTCCATTTGTTAGCTTCAAACTTAGGTTTCATATTTTTCGAGCCTCAATTCTCAAGGCTTCTTTATAAGCTTCGCTCAAAGAAATAGGGCATTTGACATCCACTAAGTCCTCTATTTCTTTAGGTAAACCGTTTACGAATATCTTTACTACAGCTGACTTCAATGGTGTCAACATAATCTCATTAAATTGTACTCCCAATTCGTCTTTTAATGCATGTTCTGCACAATTCAACAATATATTTATTCGGTCATGAAAATCTCCGACAGTGTAGCCCTGTTTCATTCTTAACGCGTGTAATCTTGCATCATAATAAGCAAAATTCTTACACGGTGCAAATCTTTCCTTTAAAGCTTTCGTTAATTCTTCTGCAGTATTAACCGTTTTGCCATACAAACAGTCCTTAGCCGGCCCCCTTAATTTTGCTATGACGGCCTTTACATAGTTTGGTCTTTGGGCGACAGGTACCGTGGCAGATCCATTTTTTATGTCTTGAATAAAATCTTTTAATGGAAGATTCCTTCCATCGAACTCTGGAATTTCTAGCAAGGAATTTTGTAAAGCGAAACTCGCTAATGCCGATTGCAGCCTAACGAGCGTTGCTTGTTGCTGCTCTTGCGCCTGCTGTTGCGCTGCTGCTATTGTTGCAGGGTCTGCCATTTCGTTCTCAAATAATGCGAATGTGTACTATCAGTCTTATCCCTGATTTCTACACTAATCGTATAATATTATCCTCCTATTTTAACGTATTCAAAACGTTATCATAGGGATCGTTTACAGATTTAAGATAGATATATATAGTTAAATATATATATGTATATATACAGGGTGATTCAGAAGGATTATAGTTTCCGAAAATGGGCTGTAGAACAAAATTTTCTGAATCGATTGCCGTTTTCAAAAAATTTTTATCATCAATACTTTCCGAGAAAATTAATTTCAAAAATTAATCATTTCGACCAATCAGAGCGCCGTTTCGGTCGACTACCAAATTTCTCCTCTTTTGCTGTTTTCTCCTCCACTTGGCCGTAACAACCGAAGCGGTGATTGAGACGTCGCGGTAACTAACAAAATATCATTGGTTGCTGAGCAGCGCATCGAAGAAAGAACCGCCTTGTAAAGACGTCATTTTCTTAGAATAAACGGTCTAATAATGTCTTATAATTTATTTTTTCATAACTTTATAACAAACATATACATTTAAAGTAATTTTACGTAATTTTATAATAATTTTACGTAATAAGCGTACGAAAGTACGCGACTTCGATGTCGATCTTGGCAATATTTTGCCACTTTAATTCGAATGAAACCTTTTTCATTCAAAAGGTCATGATAAGATGTGTTCACGAATCTTTTTCTGACGCTCGGAAAAGCCTCTGACATTAACCGGAGAAGAGAGGGAAAAAGCCGTGCGGCCGCACACTCGTGAGTATCCACCTTCAATCGCGTTTTTGGCAATGTTTTGCCACTTTTATTTGAATGAAATCTATTTCATTCGAATGATCATAGAGGAGAGAGGCTGTAAAATTTTCCCAGCGCTCGGAAAAGCCTCTGATATTAACCGGAGAGGAGAGGAAGAAAGCCGTGCAGCCGCGTCCTCGTGAGTATCCACCTTCGATGGCGTTTTTGGCAATGTTTTGCCACTGTTATTCGAATGAAGTCTATTTCATTCGAATGATCATAGAGGAGAGAGGCTGTAAAATTTTGCCGGCGCTCGGAAAAGCCTCTGACATTAACCAGAGAGGAGAGAGGGAAAGTTTTATAATTTATTTTTGTCAATAACTTTATAACAATCATAAATTTACAGTAATTTTTCTAATCAAATCAAAAGTAATTCTTTTAGTTATTACTAGAAATACAAATAAAGAGCATTTAAGTAAAAATTTAATACTGAGACTTTTTATTTTCAATTATTGCTTATTGAGTGAGATTAATTGTATCTCGCTCACCATTCGGTATTACTGACGGTGACATTACTATCCGTGAAACTTTTGCCGACACTCGGAAAAGCCTCTCACATTAGCTACAGAGGAGAGGGGAAATACGCGCGGACAAGCGTATCAAAGTACGCGACTTCGATGTCGATTTTGGAAATTTTTTGCCATTTCTATCGGAATAAAACTTTTTTCTTTATCATTCGCTGTTGTTTATAAAAAATATTTTGAATCAATTATTCAACAATTTTTTATTTTTAAAAATTCAAAGTACAAAAAAAAACAAACTTCATAAATTAAAATCTTGAATTTGACGGAAACTTTTGTATTTAAAATTAAATATCAGAACATGTTTATTGATAAATTTGATGCGTTTTTGTTGTCAAAGTTTTTTTTTTACAAACATGTGGTGACGCTATCTTTTACAATAAGTTTCATCATAGTGTGCAACCAATTTTGTTTAAGTTGCGTTCGGTGCGAATAAAAGTGGAAATTTCTAAACAACATTCTGGCATTAATTATGGGTGATCGCGGGGGTCGTGGCGGTAGAAGTGGAGGACGAGCTGGAGGTCGTGCGGGTGGCCGAGGAAGGCCTGTCGGTCGTGGTGCACCGTATACGGGACCCGAGTATACGGAGATGATCATTTTTTACGGCGAGGCCGGGCGCAATGCTAACGAAGCCGCGTGTTTGTACGCGGCTGCGTTGAACCGCAGGAACCCGCCTGATTTAAGAAGACGTCCGGATGCAAATGTCATTTTGGGAGCGGTACATCGTGGTCGAGAGGACGGTAACCTCATTCCCCTTGCTCATCGAGGTGCTGGACAAGGAGTAGTCGGTGCTCCACGTGTTGTACGCAACGTGGAAAATGAAGAAAATGTTTTAGAGTGTTTAGAAGAGGATCCGACTAGGAGCATTAGAAACGTGGCAGGCATGCTGAATCTAACCTACTCTACGGTAAGTAACATAAATTATATTCAAGTGAGGTGGGTGAAAATAATCGAATCATAATTCAATTTTCATAACACTCTAGATTTATTTAATTTCACAAATACAAGGAACTGTTTGACGATGAATATTACAAAAAACAAGCAATTTAAAACTACGAGAATATTACAGATATAAAAACAAAAAGAACGCTTATGCAACAAAATACGCAAACTTTGAATTACTTAAAAATCGCGGAATAGAGAAAAGATCCATAAAACGTCTGGAAGGTGTACGGCCATCCCTCGCTAAATTTACGCGAAGTCGCCTCCAAAATCGCTAAAGCCCGTTCGTTGTTTTTGTCTCTCGATTCGGTTTTAACTACTCCGAAATTTTCCATTTCTATATATTCATGAACTAATTTTTCTAATTCCGCGAGCTTTTGTTGTTCCGTCATCTCCTCCTCGGTAGCGATAAAACATTTCGCGAGTATTTGCGAATCTCTGTTCGAATTCTGACTGTTTTCGATGTATCCGTGTACCGACCATCCCAATCGCGTGTGTGAAACAATGAGCCCGCTATCCCCAATCCGCCGCGATTCATCACACATAATCAACGGCCAAATGTCCTGTCCTATCAAGATGCTCAACTTAGCGTCTTTGTACGGGTATAACGGGATATCGTGTTCCTTTTTAACGTCCTGTACGAGCTCTATCGACAACGATTGCAGAGACAGATCTAGCTTTGGTACAATTAGCGTACGAGCGATCTTTTCTTGGCCAAACGGCCCGCTAACTTAAAAACTAACTCTTTCGCAACGAACCATACTCATACCATACAAGCCGCGTATGCTTGTCCTAAAGGGCTCCCTCGTCAAACTGACATGATCTGCGAATCCCCTGTCGATTAGCGTAGCCGTTGCTCCACAGTCCAACAATGCGCACGTCGTCGTTTTCCTTTTTGGCTCGTGGATGTTTAGCGGTACGGTGCGTAAAAGGCCCGTGCGAGCCGCTAGTCAATTTCTTCGAGAAGTTGACTTGCGATCTCGGTTGCGTGATTCGTCGCGACGCCTTCTCTCGTCGCGGTCTCTCTTGTCGCCACGGTCTCTCTCATTGTCGCGACCCCTCTTGTCGCGATCTTCCCTTCGATCAGCATTATCACGTCGGCCTCCGCGGTCAGAATTATTCCGGCGGTCGTGGCTACCGAAAGAATGCAAAAGAGTGTGATGGTATTTACGGCAAGTTTCGCAAGTTTTCTTCGCGTTGCAGTCCCTTCGTGAATGCTTGTCGCCCAGACACTTGAAGCAGAGTCGCCACTGCTTGACCAAAAACCACCTGCGCCTAGTACTTTCGTTTTTAAACTCGCGGCAGTTTCTCAATTCATGGTTCTCGCGACGACAATGCAGACATCTGTTCCCCGCAGGTGGTCTTTCTTTATCGTCCCCTTGTCCCTCCGCTGCAGCGCATATCACGGCAGCTCTCGGCCTCCTCGCTGAACCATCGCTGCCCCTTGATGACGCGATCTGGATGTCGAATATCCAAGCACACACTGCCATATCCGACTCCCTACTCATAAATTTCGTGAGCTTTTCCAGAGACGATGTGTCGGACAGCAAATCGCTCGCATTTTCGACGTATCGATAGTATGTCGATTTCAATTCGTCCGGGATCTTACTAGCCACGCTTAATAGCAAATCCATGCTATGCAAATATTCGTTCAGTTTCAGCAACTTCAGCCCGTCAATACTGCATTTCAGCTGAGTCGCGAACGAAACCAATTTGCCTTTGGCAGATTTCAGACACGGCAGCGCATACAGGTCACGAACGAAATCCTGAGCTATCAGAAACCTATTCTCGAAGTGTTTTTCTAACTCGGTTATGACATCTTCCGGATCCTCGGTTGTTGCCAAAAGTGTCTTCACGAGGTCGTAGGCTCGTCCTTTCAACGCTCTTTCTAAGCGCCCGATGTTACGACGATCGCTAAAATTACTCGTGGACTCGGCGTACGTCCTATGAAAATGAATGCATTGCAGAGGCTTTCCGGAAAACTCCGGTAATCGGTTGTCATAATCTAATTGATCGCTCGCCAGAACATTATTTGCTGCGCTCTCGCGGATTACATTGGCTGCACTGATTAAACTACCGGATAACAATGATACCGCTTTTTCGAGTAAATTTACGCCTTGAAAATCGCTAACGCTTGCGGTACCTTGATCGTGAAGTTAACGATTCGCCTCGCTGGTGACCACGTAACTCGTTGATGCTGCTGTTGAAGACGCTGTACTAGTGACGTTGACCTCCGGCTCGAGCGAAGGACTCAGCTGCGATCGTTGCCGTTCATCAGATGGAGTCGATTCTGTCGATGACACTACAGGTGGCTCGGTTGTTCGCTTCCGTTGACGGCGGGTGGGCCTTGGTGCCCTTTGCGCACCACCGCATCCTGACCTCGTGCGGGTGACTTCCCTTGGCGGAGCTGCTACAGGAGTTGCAGGTGCAGCTGCTGGCATAACTGCGACAACCTCTCGCTGGACTTGCTTCCCAGGTGGCCCCTGCTTGTTGGCCGGCGCGCGTCGTTTTCTCATCACCATCGTAGAGACACAGATGAACTTCACGAACGCCAGAAACCGCACAACAAACCACTATAGCAGCAATCTCGACTTCGCACAATTTGAACGATGTTCCTCACCCGGGACACCAATTTGTTAGGGGTGAGCAATTTTGCGGGAGAGATTGAATAAAGGAGTATACTGAGTTTAATATTTCTTTTTTGTTTAATAAACTAAGTTACAGTTAAATTAGAACTAAATAGTCGGCGTAAAAAACCTCACCGTGTGAGGAAAAAGCCGCTATTTTACAAATTAAAGATCTCGACTAGGATCGAGTTAACGCGCACGAGTCCAAAGAGAGGCACAACTCGCCTCGTTAGAATCTGGACGTAAAGTGACTCGCATCTCAGTTTCACGTCGCATGTTGCCGAATTTTCTCGCCAGCCTCACCGTCAACGCTGCCCCGCCGCGTGCACATATTTACTTTTGGGCCTTGCAGGCGCGCTTTGGCACTCTGGCACGCTTATCGCGTTCCCGCTCTCTCGCCCTCCGACTGTCTCGCTCGCTCTCACTCGCCAGCCTGCTGGTCCTAGGAGCAATCTCAACATTGCCCTATCCGTAAAATTCATCAAGTAAGATGAAGTGACCCACACAACCAAGAGTAAAACTCCAAATGGGGTCTGCAGCCTTCGGGGAGCAAGATCCGCGAATCTGAAAATTCTGGTTTCACGGACACGTAATGCATCCCGTGCTCGTGCACGTCCATGGGTCGAGTTTGAGCTCCGAGAACAGTACCGCTGGCTCGATCGCAGGTTCGCAACAAGCCGTCTCGGTGTACATCCTTGCGACATTCGTTCTCGTTTGTCCTTTCACACTCAACATCGACGATCGCACTCGTACGTCCATTCCTATCAAGCAAACGATTACAAGAAATTGTCGTAAGCCGCTTGATCCTGAGTTCGTTACAGACTTATCCTTTAACCGCAAACTAAACTAACTATCATAATTAAAGTAACTTATCAATTACTCAGTCGTAGATTCATTTTCCTACTTGTCGGGCCGCGTGATAATACCCAGACTCGAGAGCAGCAGTTAATTTTTTATGGCGCGTCTTCGGATTTTGGCCGAAGGTTCGAAGTCGAGCAGTGTGTGCGGTGACTATGATTCACATTTCTCGTGAACGTTCATGTCTCATCTCACGCGACCCATTTCGTCCATTCTTTGATTTTTAATGCCTTCCTCGACGTTTTTTACAAGTGTTATTAAATTCCTAAATTGTTCTTCGGTAGCTTTAAAGCAATTTCTCTATTGAGAAAACAGGCGACAACGAACACTACCCTTGCGCTTTCTCTTTAAAAAAAAAACAGGTGATAGCTAATACAATCCTTATACTTTCTCTTTAAAAAAAAACAGACAAAAGTGAACACAACCTTTACACGTGTGCCTAACCCGCTCGGGCGCGTTAATTTCCCTATTTCCCAATGTGCTACGCTTTCATTTTCAAAGGTCTGTTCTGCACACCACGTGTACAACTCAAAAACTCTTTCTCGTCTGCATAATCCCTTGCTCGATATTTGGAACGTCCGGAACAAATTATGAATGTGAAGTTCGTAACATTAATTTGCACGTAAAACATTATTTTTAAATTAATTTTTAACTATTTTAGTCGACTTGTGTGACCTTAGTAGTGATATAAAACTACATATTAATCAATAATAACTCTTAATAACAGCCCTGAAATAACTAACCCTAAGAGTCTAGTTCGCTCTATGACGATATTGGAGTACACGACTGCGATAGCATTTTTGGCAATGTTTTGCCACTTTTGTTGCAATGAAATCTTTTTCGTTCCAAAGATCATAGTGGAAAGAGGCTGTAAAACTTTTGCTGGTGCTCGGAAAAGACTCTGTCCCTTGCAACATAGAAGGGAAAGCGCGCGGCCGAGAATACGTAGTTACGCGACTTCGATGTTGATTTTGGCAATGTTTTGCCACTTTTACCAGAAAGAAACCTTTTTCATTCGAATGATCATAGTCGTAAGAGGCTGCAAAACTTTTGCCAACGTTCGAAAAATCCTCTGTCCCTTGCAACATAGAAGGGAAAGCGCGCAGCCGAGAATACGAAATTACGCGAATTCGATGGCGTTTTTAGCAAAGGTGTGACACTTTTATTGGAATGGCACCTTCTTCATTCGGACATAAAGTATTCGTGAAACTTTTGCCTATGCTCGGAAAAGCCTCTGATATTAACCAGAGAGGTGTGGGAGAAAACGTATTCATCTTCAATTTACTCAGTGAATAATGGTAGTGGTATGGTTATTATGCGATGCCGAATATTCCGAATGCTTAAGACTTTATATCTACGTTCCGTATGGCCGATTTCAAATCGTCAGTGATGACTGACGGATGCATAGACTTCTCAATATCACTTAAAATCCTTTCTATTCTTTACGCTGTTATGTTTTTTTTTCTTTTAATACATTTATTATTGATAGATATTTTTCATATGCTGTTGGTTGCATATTTTTTTTCTTTTGTCCCAATATTTTCAAAAGATAGTTTTCTTTGGCTATTCTGTTTAGTAGTTTTTCCAATGTCCAACGAGAAGCTTAGAAATAAAACAATTAAGAGAAAGTGGCCGGCTGCTCAAATAATTTTATTGTATAGAGCCTTTGTGTATTACATTTACAGCATCATCGTTAAATGGTTTCATTGGTAATACATTAGTAATAGCAGTAAATGTAAATCCACAAAACATGTTATATTTGTCGTTAGATTAATCTAATTTATATTCGATAATTTATATCTAATCACTATTCTATATTTTTGACTTAGGTACAACGGATCATTAAGGACAACTTCCTCCATGCGTATCACTTTCGCAAAGTTCAAAAACTGAACGAAGCAGATTACCATGTGCGGGTTGAATTTTGCCAAAGGTTTACGTAGAATCGAAAACGATGAACATTTTTTAGAAAATATTTTATTTACGATGAATCGACGTTTGGGAGAGACGGAACGTTCAACATGCATAATAACCATTATTATGCTGTAGAAAATCCAAGATTAGCTATTGTAAATAGACACCAGAATCGATTTTCCTTAAATTATTGGTGTGGAATCGTGAAAAATGAAGTTGTTAGTACATACAAATATATTTCTACATAAAAATATATATATTTATTTATTTACAAAATTTATTTACAATCTGTCAACCTTAAATAAAAAGGACAATCAGTAAATTATTTTACGATATAGACAATTTTACATGTTATCAGCAGAGTACTCCACTAAGTATTCTATCTTGATCTTGTAATGCGAAGGTACTGCTTTTTATCTTGAGTTATATTGTGTCTTCTTTATTTTACGTTTCTTAAGTCCTGTATTGGTAATCGATTCCGAAAGAAGTTTGCTAATACGTTTGTTTGAATGGTTTCCTAGTTTTGTGTAGTATTTTGCGAATAAAGTTTGAATTTCTTCTTTCTCTGTGGCGATCTGTACATCATTTGGAATAATTTCGCTTGGAACGAACCACGGCGCGTGTGTTATACTGTGTAGGACTTTCGATTGGAATCTTTCTAAGATTTTAATGTTCGAGTTTGAAGCGGCTCCCCATAGTTGAATGGCGTTGGTCCAGACTGACTTGAATACTGCTTTATATAGCAGAAGATTATTTTCAATTGTTAGCTCCGATTTTTCCTCAATAAGCTAGTACATTTTCCTCCATTTCAATCCTAGTTGTTTCCTCTTTGTGAATATATGTTCTTTCCATGTCAACCTTCTATCCAGATGTATACCTAAGGATTTGACATGGTCTTTCTGCGTATGTATTTGTCATTCAACGAAATATGTGGACATGTATTTTTACGGAGAGTAAATGTGGTGTGAATTGATTTACTCTCGTTTACTATTATTCTCCACGCATTTAGCCAGTTTTGGAGATAGTTATTAACGTAATTTTATAGTGTTTCCCATGCTATTGCTCTTTCTTGATGTGTTGTTAATATTGCTGTATCGTCTGCATATGTTACTGTCAGAATATTTGGAGACTTTGGTAGGTCCGATGGGTCCGATGTGTATAGCAGGTATACTGTTGATCCTAAAATACTGCCCTGTTGTACACCTGCTTTTATTATTTGCCATGTTGATACTTTTTTATTGATTTTTATCTGAAATGTTCTGTCTTGCAGGTAAGATTGTAGTAAATCACTGTAACATTTGGGAAAAAATCCCCCTATGTTGAGAAATATGCCTGTATAGTACAGTTTGTTTTCTATGGATTTCCTTGCTGTTGATACTATTCTTTTCACTTGTTCGATCGTGGAATGATGACTTCTGAATCCGAATTGGTGGTCCGGGATAAGTTTTCTATCTACGACGATTTGATTTATTCTTGCTGGTATGTTTTTTTCATAGACTTTTCAGAGTACAGGCAGTAGACTAATTGATCTGTATGAGGTCACAAGTTTATTTTCTTTACTAGGTCTAGGTATTAAGATAATCTCTGCTACTTTCCATTGAGAAGGTACATAGCAATGATGGAAGCATGCATTAAATATTATTGTTATATATCGAATTGCTATCGTGGGAAGCTTTTTAATCATTTTTCCTGTAATGATATCATAACCGAGGGCTTTTTTATTATTTATGTTATTAATGATTTTGAGTACTTCCTTTAGTTTAACTGGTTTCGATGGAGTGTTATCCTGTGCATTATGATCTTCTAGTAAGATTTCTTTTTCTTGTTCAGTGATTATACGCTGATGTGGTTTGAACACTTTGCTTAGATGATTTGCAAAAGTTGCCATTTTATCCTCGTCCGATCTGGCCCATTTTCCACAGTTTTTACGTATGGGTGGAAGAAATGAGGTTGGTCTATTTAATCTTTTTGTCGCTTTTCATAGTGAGTAATCCGTTCCTTCGATTGGACAAAGTGCTTCTTCTGTATTTCTGCATTTTTCTGTACGAACAATACTTTCTTCAGTTCTTTAACTGCTCTATTCTAGATTCATTTTATCTTTGCTCAATCTTGTAATCTAATACCTTTTTCTCAGTAGTCGTTTTTCTTTGATTTTTTGTTCTACTACTACTATAAAGATGATTTGTTGATATTCTGTCTTCATTACAGTAGTGGAGCATTGGTTAATAGCTACAGTTAGGAGTGAGTTTAATGTTTGTATACTGTTTTCTATGATAGTAGTTGATTTGAGAGGTACATTACATTTATACGTTCCTCTAGGAAGCTTGTATATTTTTTCTAGTCTGTTATTGTGAGGTTGATTACAGTTTTGTGCACAGTAGAGTTTAGAGTGACTATTAGCGGTGAATGATCTAATGTAAGGTCAATGCATGAGGAAGCTTACATATGTGTTTTATTCATACCTTCAACTATTGCGAAGTCAATCAAATCTGGTTTCCTGAACATGTCCGTTGGCCTATATATTGGTTCTCCAGTGGATGTTGGAATGTATTTGTTTAATTGTAATATTTCGTATAGTATTTTGTTTATCCTCGATTATTACATTGATTGCTTGAAGGTAAATTTCGCTGGTGTGTGTATGAACGTAGTGGATTTTTTTTTTTTTTTTTTTTATTAAGCATTCAAATCTGACATAAGATTTATTAACTATACATAATTTGGTCCGTTAGACATTTAGTTTACATTCCTTAAAGTAGTCTAGAAGGTATTTACAGGCTGTTATGTTAGGTTCGCTTAGGATTATTGCTGTACTCATTGGTAGATACATGTTTATGCTATACAATTTTTCAATTAGTTTGCATCGTTGGTTATCATAAAATGGGCATTGCCAGGTTATGTGATCCAGATCTTGGTTTGAGGTCTGACATTCACACATAGGATTGTCAGCGATCCCAATTCTATGTAAAGATGCTAATAAGTTGTAATGATTTGCTCTGCAACGATTTATTGTGACGATAAGATCTCGCGGAAGGTTTTTACGCTCAAACCAAGGTCTGGAGAGTTTTGAATGGAAATTTTCAAAATAATTCTGCCCTTTTTCTGTACCCATCTTATTTATAATGATTTCCATATTGTCATTCATAGTCTTTTTAAAATGCTCTTTTAAGCTTATATATGAGACATTTTTTTCCTCCCATACATGTTCATTAGTTGCACTTTTTGCAGCTATGTCAGCTTGTTCGTTGCCTGGAATTCCGTGGTGAGAAGGTATCCAATATAATTGAACACATATCTTACCATTCATTTTCGAGCTTATCTCATTATATTTCTTCTTAATCTCAAAGATGAGTGGGTCAGTCCGTATATCGATCTTACAATTTTGTAAACTTTCGAGTACGCTTAAGGAATCGGTAAATATCATTGTTGCTTTGTGAGGTACATTAGTTACTAAGTCTAGAGCATCGCTTATCGCTATACATTCAGCTGTGAAGATTGAGGTATAAGGATTCATTTTTCTTTGTATTACAAAGTTCAGCTTAGGGCAAATACATGCCGCTCCTACATATTCATTATTCCTATCTTTACATCCGTCTGTATAAATTTCTATCATATTTTTACTGCCAATAAGTTCGTGAAATTTAGCTGCAGGATTCTTGGCTGCCTTTATTTCGGTACCAGTACATTTGTTGAACGGAATACTAGTCGTGATTGTTTCGTAAGTGTGTTCATATATTCCATAAGCATTTGTCTTATAGTAGGATGGGGTATTGTTTTTGAGAATGCACAGTTGGGTTTCAAATATTCTTTTTCGCTTTCTTTTGCATTTGTGTAAAATTCTTTGATAATATAAGTTTATATTTTGGGTTACAAGGAGACTTTGGTTGCTGCTTATTTTCGAAAGATACATATTACAAAGATATATAGCTCTTTGCTTGATAGTTGGCAGTTTTGATTCACCCAATAGCACGCTTATGGGAGTTGATATACGATAACCGAATGCTAATCGTATGGCTCGATTTTGTATATGATCTAGTTTTTTATATAACTCCTTGCGCATGGGATAATAAACAAAGCATCCATATTCTATAATCGATCGGACGTAACTTTTATAAAACGTTATAAGTGTGGCTGGGTCTGCTCCCCACCAGGTCCCGCAGAGATATTTTAAAATATTTAGTGCTCTGTTACATTTACTTACTACGTTGTTGATTTGCGATTTGAAAGACAATTTGTTATCGAATATTATGCCAAGAAATCGTACTGTTTCAGATGATTTTATTTTGCATTCTTTGTTGATTACTATTTCCGTTTCGCCTGGGTTAATTGCTTGATTGTTAAAGTTGATAAATACAGTTTTGTGAGGAGCAAGCTCGAGACCTATTGCTGTTAGTTCAGCGTCTAAGATTTTAATTGTTCTTTGCAGCGAATTTTTATTTTTAGAGTATAGGGCTATATCATCGGCAAACTGTGAGATAGATATAGTCTTTGGAACCTTTTTGAGAATGTCGGATACGTATATTATGTACAGTAGTGGACTAAGAACTCCCCCTTGAGGAACACCTTTGTAAGTGTGTTTTATTTCTTCCGATAGGGTAGAGTATACGAATCTTTCGTATGTTAAAAATTTAATGAATTTGACTAATGGGTAAGGACATCCAATATTGGCTAGTTTTTGAGTCAGGTTTTCACTAAGAACGTTATCAAATGCTCCCGAGATATCTAAAAATACACCATACAATTCTTTCTTTTCTCTGAGAGCTTTTTGTACCGTTATAGTAAGGTTTAGGATGTTATCTGTGCTCGATTGGCCTTTGCGAAAACCGTTTTGACTTTTCGGTAGAATGTTTTGCGTCTCGATCCACCACTGCATTTTATTTTTAATTATTGTTTCAAAGAGTTTGCATACTGCTGAGGTTAACGCTATAGGTCTAAAGTTTACTCCGTCCGGCTTTTTAACAAAGTGTATATACGTGTTTTTCCAGTCTTCTGGAAAATCACCGGTGCGATACATTTCATTAAATATGTCAATGAGAACCAGTCTGTATTTAAGTGATAGTTTTTTTAGGGTGTAGTAGTCGATTCCGTCGAGACCAGGGGAAGATTTATCGCTACGCGATTCTAGCGCGAGATTAAGTTCAGCAAAGGTGAATTCAGTTTCCAAAAATTCATTTTTGTTGCAACAAGGCATCCAGTCTTTATCGCGAGGTACCCATGCAGGACATATTTTATTCAGAGCCGTTTCTTTCTTGTCATTTTGTAGATTTTCGGACGTGTGTGAGGGTGTGGCTTTGATCCATTTATTTTTCAAGATTTTTGCCGTGTTCCATACATAAGTGGGGTTAGTGTGAAAGTTTATGGACTGAACAAAGTTACGATAGTTTTCTTTTTTTTTTCTTTTGTACATTTTACGCGCTGTGGCTTTAATTCGTTTATGCTCAATATAATCAGCAAGTTGCTTAGACTTTCTCCACTTATTAAACGCTTGTTTTTTTAATCCTTTGATTTTCTCACATTCCTCATCCCACCAAGCTACTGGATTTCTGTGTTGCTTATCATTAACCCTGATTTTTTTCGGAGTGTATTTTTTAATAGCCGCACTGAGAAGTTCAATAAATATATTATATTTTTCTGAAGCGGTTTTACTAATATAGTTGCTAGTAAAGAATTCAGAGAGTTCCTTTTCTAAATATGAGTCTACTTGGTTCCAGTTTGTTCGGATTGATCGTAGTTAGAGCGATTTTTTTATATATATAGTTTTTTCAACGTTTATACTAATTTTGATAGGAAAGTGATCAGATCCATAAGTATCGTCGAAGATGAAACTTTCAATTTTATCAGCAGAATTTTTATTGGATATAATCAAGTCAATATTTGACTGAGATGTACTGTCGATATGAGTAATTGTATTATTATTATGTATAAAGAGTTCGCGGCCAAGTATACTTTCTAAAAGGAATTCTCCGTTTTTGTCGGTTTTACTGCAGTTCCATGCTATATTATGCGCGTTAAAGTCACCGGCAAGTATATTGATTTCATCGTTATTTTTGATATTCGACAGCAGCTGATTCCAAAGATTTTGATTTAATGTTTGCCCAGGAGTTCTATAACAAACATATACATTCACGACCGGATTTGTATTCGTAATTTGTATTGCGCATAATTCGATTGAGCTGTCTGGTGTGACAATATTACCAAGTTCTTTAAACGCTATGTTGTTACGTATCAGTAAGACTATACCTCCTCCTGTTGCTGTATGAACACTATCTTTCCGAAAGATGATGAATCCTGGTACTTGAAAGTTGGGAGTGGTGTCACTGAGAAAAGACTCTACACATGCTAGTATGTCCGTATCTTTGAGCAAGAAAGGCAGATCTTCTTTGCGTTTGTTGATGCTTCTTGCGTTCCAGTAGATTACATTCAGGTTCGTGTGTTGATTTATTTTTGACTTGTTATCCATCTTTTACTGAGTTTTCCTCTTCCGTCTCCGTTTCCATGAACGTATCAATATCGGTCGCAGTTATTTCTGAGTCATTTTCGCCGTAACTCAAATTCACTTCTGTCTCGTCTTGCTTGATTAATTTATTTTTCAGCTTCGTTAGTTTTGTTTTGGTGGTAGAAACTCGAATAAGTGGATATATTTTTTCAATTGCATCGATTATTTCTTGTGCAGTAGTTGTTTCTTGAAGAGCTGTTTTGTGTCCGTCTTTTTCACTAAAACTGGTTTGAAGAAATTGAATTAATTTGTCCGCTGATATATGTTCAGATTGGTCTTCATTTTGTAGGATCAAGGGCGAGGCTTTTATGGTATTTGAGATTATTTCTATGTCCGATGTTAGGGTGACATTATCTTCTTCTTTTGTTTTCCTGCGTTTTCTCTGTCTTCTTGATTTGGTTTCAGTGGCGCTGCTATTTAAAATAGTATCGTCAGATTTAGTGTTATTTGTAGGGGGATTTTTTTCTTCTGTTTTATTTTCTGTTGATTTTCCAGGTTGTTCGTTCACGTTTGATGACAAATCACTGTTATTTTCGCTGGTAGTAGTCGATAGCGGTCTTTTTGTTGTTGCTGTACCGATTTTTACTTCAGGAGCCTGCGGGTTTGCTTGGCTTGCTGATAATTCGGCTGTTGTGCCGTTTGTCGACGTTTGTGTATGAATTGGGAAATTATTTTCAGTGTTGGGACAGGTCTTTGCTATATGTCCGTTTTGGTTACAAAGAAAGCAGGCCGCCGAGTCTGTAGTTATATACGTCCAGTAAGTTGTGTCGTCTATTGAGAATTGCAAGGTTTCGGGAAGAAGTGATTCTTGTTCTTCCTTTATGTAAAACTGTCTACGGAATGACATTATGTGTGATCTTCCCGGTTTGCTGGCGCTGGCTCGAATATCGATTATACTGGAGAGAACTGTTATGCCTTTTGTTTTTAACATTTGTATAATCAAGTTATTTGGTATTATTGGTTGAATATTCGAAATAATAACTCTTTTGTTATGATTTATCAGTGGTCTGATCATTAGTACATTATCTTTGATGCGCATTGTTTTGTTCTTCAATTGGTTTACGTGCGTGTTATCTGCCATGTATATACAAACTCTGCCGCCTGAGATTTTCGATATGTACCTTACATTGTTGATATCTGTGAGTCTTTCCAATCCATCTAAGTAGTCGTCAATTACTAAGCCATTTACGGAATCTACAATAATCGCGTTTTCTCTTTTTGCAGTAGGGCTTTGAGCTGCTATATTTGAGTACTTCTGTTTTTGTACGTCTGTTGGATTTTTTGCATTAATTTGATTGCAATCATTGGTTTGCTGTGTATTTCGGGGTGGGACTGAGCCTCCTATTGTAGGGTTCATTTTTCTACCCGATAAGCCAAAGTGGCCCACGAGTGGTGGTGATCTTACACTGTGACCATGCACTACTTGTTTTATTTTCACTTTACTGAACTTACGTGACGACAATAACTCGAGCTCGCAAAGTTATACACAAGAATCGCGGAGCGATTGTAAACACGTCTGCTCGCTACCAGAGTTGAACGCGTACTGGTTGAACGAGCATTGGTTAATAGCTACAGTTAGGAGTGAGTTTAATGTTTGTATACTGTTTTCTATGATAGTAGTTGATTTGAGAGGTACATTACATTTATACGTTCCTCTAGGAAGCTTGTATATTTTTTCTAGTCTGTTATTGTGAGGTTGATTACAGTTTTGTGCACAGTAGAGTTTAGAGTGACTATTATCGGTGAATGATCTAATGTAAGGTCAATGCATGAGGAAGCTTACATATGTGTTTTATTCATACCTTCAACTATTGCGAAGTCAATCAAATCTGGTTTCCTGAACATGTCCGTTGGCCAATATGTTGGTTCTCCAGTGGATGTTGGAATGTATTTGTTTAATTGTAATATTTCGTATAGTACTTTGTTTATCCTCGATTATTACATTGATTGCTTGAAGGTAAATTTCGCTGGTGTGTGTATGAACGTAGTGGATTATTTTTGTTTTGATTCTTATTGCAGTTCCTCCGTATGCTTTATTGAGTGGATGATTCGTTTTATATAAGGTGTAGTTTGGTATACTAAGATAATTCTTGCTTGTAAAGTGTGTTTCTGATATCAACATGATGTTTATATTTTCATAGTTTAAGAACGATTTTAATTCCAAGTACCTTTGCATTAGACCACTTGCGTTACAGATATCGAGTTTTAAACTACTCATTTTGATAGTTTGTTTACTAATACGGTTAAGGGATTGAGCATAGTGTTCATTCTTTGGATCAGCTGCTGCATGATATGTTCAAGTTTATTTGTGTTATTATTGTTGGAGTGTTTACTGGGCTTTTGTGTAGCACTTGTAAATCAGCCTGATAAATAAATACAATAATGAATAATAATAATAATTAAACTTAAATCTTATTACGTTTCATGTATATACAATTTTTTTTAATTCAGTCTCTGTATCTCAAATATATTGAAAATGGAATTTTTTTATTATATTCACATTCAGATTGGTCCAGTACAAATGCCCAATTATTTGGGCGCTGATAATTACATAGACTTCCTGCAAAATCAGCTTCCGAGATTGTTGCGCCATTTACCTAATGAAGATCGGAAAAACATATGGTATCAGCATGATGGAGCTCCCGCTCATCGAGCTGCTGGAGTAATTAATCTGCTGAACCATATGTTTCCGAACAGATGGATTGGCCAAGGTGGAGAAATCCATTGGCCTCCACGATCACCGGATTTAAACCCACTTGATTTTCTTTTATGGGGTTATTTTAAAGATTGTATATACGGAACAGAGATAGAAAATTTAGAAGATCTGGAAAACAAAATAACAATGGCGTTTGAAAGCGTAACGCCTGAAATGTTAGCTGCAGTAAGACGAAATTTTGTAGGCCGGCTGCAGTGCTGCATTGAAAACGGAGGACGACAATTTGAAAACTGTCTCTAAGTTAGTTATTATAATTTTCAAAGTAATATAATAACAAATTTGAGATTATAAACGTGTCGTATTATTTCAGATCAGCATACTCAAGCAATTGTATATATTTTGTTTTTCGAGCTTTGTTCGCGATAAGCGTAGTGTAAATAAAAATAATTATTATTGAACAAACTGGACAATTCTTTAGTAGAAATTCCAAGTTAAATATAATCAACACAGAAATTCGAATCACCTATAAGAAAGAATTTATAAGTCTCATGTATATCAAGTTCTTTGAAAATTAATACGAATATGGTGCGTGAATATTGAATAAATAAAGGATATGGATTTAATTTTATTATATTTTTATCAAGTATAATTAGGCTCGTATTTATACGGCATAAAAACCCCAGTCATAAGTAGGGAAAAGCCATCTAAATACTACTGTGGGCAAAAAGTAAGGTGAATTTGTTTGTAAAATGAAAAATCTTTATTTATTCTTCTACATCAATGTCATTCCCTTCGAAGTAATCCCCTCCCGATAAAATACACTTATGCCAACGTTTTTTCCAATCCTCGAAACATGCCAAATAGTCCCTTTCCGGTATAGCCATCAGCGCCTTCTTCGATTCAGCTCTTATCTCCTCAATCGACTCGAAACGCGTTCTCCGGAGTGGTCTCTTGAGTTTTGGGAATAGCCAGAAGTCACACGGAGCCAAATCAGGCGAATACGGTGGTTGCGGAACGATATACGTCGAATTTTTGGCGAAATGGTCACGAAGAACGAGTGCAGTGTGAGCTGGTGCATTATCGTGAAGCAAAAACCAAGAGTTGTTGGCCCATAATTCTGGTCTTTTTAGACGAATTGCTTCACGCAAACGACGCATAACGCTCAAATAATATTCCTTATTAACAGTTTGGCCGGGTGGAAGGAATTCATAGTGCACCACACCACGAAAATCGAAGAAAACTGTCATCATGACCT